GTTCAAACTGAAGGCTCTCGTACCCAGTGCCCCTACGAGCCCCTCTCTGGACCTCCTGGCCCAGGGGATGGTCAACCTGGGTAACTCTGGGAACATGGCGGTTTCCTGCACAAGGTCTGTTATTGGAGATTTCTATTTTTTATTTTATTTTGCTTTGATTTTTTTTTTTTTTAATGCATCTTAATGATTGTTCCTGGCAATTAATTTTAATAATATAGATTGCTGAAAATGAGACAGGAAGCAGTTCATCAAATGAAAGTGTCCTACTACTACAATCTCTTACTGAGGTAAGTACAGTGGGGATACAGTGTGGCCTAGATGTGCAGAATGCAGATAATTTTTATCACCATGATTGTCTGAATGGTTAATTATCCTCCTTTGGCAGTGAGCGTGTATGGATGCCTCTTGACATGCCCACTCTTGTGGCAGAAAGCACCCCTAATGCACCCGACAGAATCTTCTGGAAAGCCACGCTTCTGTTGCCAAGCATCTGTGATAGTGACATAAGCTATGCCAGCAGGTAAGGAACGAAATTGTGGAAAAATTTCTTGTAACATGTTAAATTACAACTGACCTCTTTTGTTTTTGTTTGTTTCCATGCAGGATTCTGACAGACTGGCTTGAGGTTAAATTGGGTGGCGAAAACCAATCCGAAGAGAGTGAGAAAGAACTCAAAGGGCAACTGAAAACACTGTGCATTAGTCACAGCTTGACAAATATTAGGGGACAGACTCATGAAGTTCACATTGCTATAAAAGTAAGCTTCAGAAGGAATAGTTTCCCCAAAAAATTACAATTCTGTCATTATTTACCTAGTTAAAGTGAGGTATTGAGGAGAAAATGGACCACGGGAAAAATTCCAACTCATGAAATGAAGCTCATTAATATCCAGTTATCCAAATGTCTCTACATTGACATGATTAACCCCTGTGTTTGTGTGCAGGCATGTCATGGCCCTCTGAGTGCAGAAGACCAGTGTTTGCTGGAGGAACACAAGGAGCTCCATGGCACCAATGCTCTTCTGATGCTACTTCCCCCTCTTAACAGTGCTGGACAGGGTGAAGAGGATGAGGATGTGTCCCTGCTCTCTGCTCTCCTTCAGCTGAGGCAGGTGCAGCAGGCCAGCTGCTGGCACTCTCCTGTACCACTGGTTGTGGTTGTTATTGGCAACCAAGAGGGCGGTACCAATGATCATGGTTTGGAAGAAGGCGAGTTTTGAAGGAAAGACTTAATATAGTAGACAAGACTGTTAAAGACTGCAATCTGATTATTTTATTGTCTCTCTCTTTCACAGCACTCATGTTGAATATGTTAGTCAACGATGGTCTCATCTCTGAATACATCTTCGTCCACATACCAGCAACCCTCACTGACCTGCAAGGCTCAGAGCAGGTTGGTCTGCAAAGAAATATTGAGAATACACAATTGTTTTTAATATAGTTAAAAATATTTGTGTTAGGGATGCGTGATATGTGTAGTTGTATCGGTATTCGCTTATAAATATTAACTTTTTTAATGCTATAGTTATTGGCTCAATAGGTGAAGTAGGGCGATATAATTAAGGTGATAAATTGTAGCCAAATAATCATTGGGGCCCCACATTTCAAGTTGCCATTTTTTAAACACAAATAAATTAATAAAATTTTTTTTTTTTTTTTTACATTTCCATTTACTTTTTTAAGAGCATCTAAAATTAAAAGTAGTTTCCACTGTTGCACATAATGTTTGGTGAAAGCATGGATAGATCTAGATGCTTATAATTTTTTTTCTTATCAGGGAAAATGAGGATTGATGTCTTGAATGGTTATTGAAAATGTAACATGTACTAACACATTCTCTTTACATAATTGATCCGCTTCAGATGAGTCATGTCATCAGGTGGCTTGCCGCCCGTTCTCCTGCTGGCCCAGCCCTTTCCTCTCAGACCCTGCTGCAGGTTGTTGAGTTAGGCCTGTGCCGTGAGTTCTACTCCAGACTACACCGAGACAAACAGGACAGGAAGCATGCAGGTCTTCCATCTCAGCACCCGGAGCCTATCGTGCAGCTCTGTAACAGTGTGCTGAGTTTCCTAGCAGGTGTGGTTTCGTCAGAGCATCTGTCCAGTCTCTGCTGGCCACCTCCTGAATTCTCTCTCCCCGAGAACAGAGAGCTGATTCCTCATCAGGCTTGGAACTCTCCAGAACACCTGGAGTGGCTGAAGAGAACCATCCTCAGCCGGCAACTTCCTGAGTGGGATCTGCCTCCAATTAGTGGTAGGTTCCAATCCTTGAATTTGTAGAATTTAGTAGCTTTATTTTAATTGAGAGAAATCAAAACTAATCTCTTTTCTTATTTCTCAGCCTCCTGGCCACATTTGTGTGCCTCGATATTCCAGTACGTATCCCAGATCCCTACATCACCCTTAAGCCAACCTATTCTAATGTCCCGTCTGGAGAACCTGCTAAGAAGAGTGAACTACCAATACTTTCACGTGAGTGATGCAGATTGGGAGGACTATGAGACGACTGGACCATCCTTTCATGAAATTCTTTGGGACGACATCATAAGCCTGTGTGTAGAGCATCGTATGAAGGACTGGAGTTTGGAGACTCTGGTGTCAAAAGGTGAGAATAACAGATTAGTAACATAATGCCAATTATGAGCTTTGAACATGTTCCAGTGTTAAATGTATGTTTTAACTCTTTAAATCACAGATGCCCTCACGGATGATGGCGAGATTCTTGTATATTTTAACAAAGACAGCCTGAAGTGTTTCCAGCCCCCTGATAGCTGGATAGAGGCTGTGAAACAGACATATCAGGAAAAACAGCTGGCCTTAGAAGTGTAACTATCACTGTTTTACATATGTATTATTCACAGTATATAGCATAACAGCCTTGCATCAAAAAATGTAAACAAAATTTAAATGTTTTCTGATAGGTCAAAAGTCAGGCCCCCAACCACGGCCAGACATTTCCCCAAACAGAAGCTGTTTCAGAGTAACATAAACGCAGAGGAATGGCCTTCTGTGCGTGATGCTGCACAAATTCCCATATCACAGCACTTTGAACGGATTCTCTCTTCCATTCGCGATATGAACACTGAGGGCCAGAGGTTAGCATTAACAATTTTAATATTAGAGTTAACTGTGTTGGCTTTTTTTTATCTTGGATGTTTGTAGTAACCATTTCTTAACACGTGTCTATAGGATTGGAGAGCAGGTACAGCGTCGGATTGAAGCGGATCCTTTACGCACTTCATCGTTTCCTCTTACCCTGACCTCCACCGTCCTCTCTATGCCTGTGACCATGACCCCCTCCCGAAAGCGCCCTGCTGCTGGCACTGTCCACATACAGGTAGAGTTATACCAGAGACACCATCACAACTGGATTAATATACCTGCATTACTATAATTGCATTAAGTCTCTATTTTTGTGCTCTTTAAAGGAAACAGAAACAGCTGACCTGGTTGAGAAAATATCATCTCCTTGCAAAATAAACAGACTCCTTGATGCAGACAGCACACAGAGTCCCATAATGGAGCGACTTCAGCGTACTCTCTTAACTGTTCAGGAGATGAATGCTGAGGGCCAGAGGTTAGGTTTAAACTTTTTTTAATGCACTAAACTGAGAAGATATAATAATGCATTATGGGATTGTCTATTTTCATTTTTTTGCAAAATAAACAGACTCCTTGATGCAGACAGCACACAGAGTCCCATAATGGAGCGACTTCAGCGTACTCTCTTAACTGTTCAGGAGATGAATGCTGAGGGCCAGAGGTTAGGTTTAAACTTTTTTTTAATGCACTAAACTGAGAAGATATAATAATGCATTATGGGATTGTCTATTTTCATTTTTTATTTTTTTCATATGTGTATCTAGAATCGGAGAGCAGATTCAGCGTAGGATTGAAGTGGATCATTTGTCCTCTGCCTCTTTTCCGCTCTTCCTCCCCTCCACCCTCCTCTCTGCACCTCCCCTAGTTAGGACTTCCTCTTCCAAGCGCCCTGCTGCTACCTTCCACATACAAGTACAGTATTCTAGCATAACTAAGGATAGTATGAAGTTAAAAAGCAGCTTTCATTATAAATGCCTTAAACCTGCATTTGTTTTTCATTTGAAGGAAGTGGAAACGAAAGATTCTGTTGAGAAGACTGCTGCATCTTGTGAAAAAAACAGACCGGTATCTTTGTTCCAGCGTTTGCAGGACTTGAAAAGAGAGTTGTCAAGTCAGAAGGAGGAGGAACGTGTGTGTGACCTCAAGCTGAAGTGTCTTTTAGACATTGTAGAGAACTGAAGATGTTTGAATATAACCGAAGCTGCTGAATGCCACTTCTAGTCTCCCAGTTTGAAAGAAAGTGTCTTTTGTCTGCTGCTTATTGGTCTCAGCAGTTTTATTTTTGCTGTTTTAAATTTTATATTTTTTGATAAAATGCTTAAGTCATGTGCCTCATACATTAGGTTTAATTAAATCTTAGTGTGTGTATCTCCTTGTACTTTAACAGTAATTTAGAATTTGTTCATTTGTTCTCATACATACTTTCCCGCTTTCTGAATAATAGTTGAATGTATTTTGTTCATCCCAATAATTCTGTTGTATTTAAATGTATATCTTTGGACAACCATAAAGATTGTTTTTATTAAACTACTGATTTTGTGTATTTTTTCCGCCTAGTATACTAAGAAACACAAATATTTTAAAGATGTTTTTGCTCATATTACTACAGGCCAACCTTTGAATTACGAATTAACATGAGGTGATTAATTATTCATGACACTCCAAACGTGGTTGGTGTGAGCTGGTAAGTCACGCCCATTTTGCTATGTTTCTAACATGTGATTGGAGGGCTTGTCCTCTGGTCATATCTCTCCATGCGATATCGCGCTCGGAAGGCAGTGCTAAGCATTATGGGAAACGTAGTTTAAGAATGAAGCCCCTTTCCATGTTTATACCGTTTAGAGAACGATTTAAGAGGAATAAAGAACTACATTTCCCATGCTGATATTAAGGAGGCGTTTACCGTCTCGATCAGCTGAAATATGGCAGGTTCTTTTCAGTTTACAAGTTTTGCTCATGCTCTTCAAAGATGACAGAGGGAACGTGAGTACAATTGTTTAATATTTCTGAATGCTTATGTTTTAAAACCACGCAGATATGAAATGAATATATTTTCCCATAAGACACGTTAAACAGAAACTAATATATTAATTATGACATTTTAGGTTTTAATTAACAGTATATTATTATTGTTATTGTTATTATTATTAAGGTATCAATGCCATATAATGCAGACTATATGCATATCTGTAGATGCTATCTTTATAATAACATAATATGATTTATATTACTATATATACTACAAGGTGTTTATTTGTTTATTTTTTGAGAAATAATTTATTTTCATTGTTATTGTTAGATGCACATCAGTTTTTTAAACATGTAAGGTTTGTTAAATGCTTGAAAAGTGTTACTGTACTACTGTTACTATGCCCATCCAAGTGTAACATTTAAAGATTTGATTTTCAGGTGTTTGCGGAGAAGGGGAGGCCCCTATAAGACTGAGCCAGTGACAGATCTCAGCCGCTGGAGGTTGAGTAATGTGGAGGGCAGACAGACCTGGAGGTACATTGAGGAGGCAGACAGCATGGACAGACAGCAGAGCATGCTGGAATCTCACTCTCTGGGACTGGACACGGTAAACATAAACATTACAGACAAGTACACTGCAACTTTTATATTCATTTTCATATCTAATCTGTTCTTCTTGACCTCAGGGTGAGTTCATCTCAGCATCCCCTGCCACACACACTGCAGTAGAAGCTGCACTGAAGGGAATGGACTTCTACAGCCATCTCCAGGCTGAAGATGGACACTGGGCTGGGGATTATGGTGGACCACTTTTCTTACTTCCAGGTCATTCATTTATAATAAGCCATTTGGACAGACTTTCTTTGTTTAGTCATTAGATGAAAGTAAATATTCTGATAATATATAAATTATGTATAATATAAATAAATATAATCAGTCGAGCATTATATGAAAAATATATTTTTTGTGCGATTAACCCATGCATTATTAAGGTTAGAATTTGCCACTAATGAAGTAAATAATAATGGTACTGAGAAACCTAGAATTTTTAAAGGTAAACTGTCTTTTTGTCTATTTGTTGATGGTTTTCAGGTCTGCTCATAACCTGTCATATTGCTAAGATCCCTCTGCCAGATGCATGGAAGCAGGAAATGGTTAGATACCTTCGCTCTGTGCAGCTGCCTGACGGAGGCTGGGGCCTGTGAGTATTAATAACATTGCCTTTTATTATATGGGGTGAATCTCATGATACCTGCAAGGAGCATCCAGATTATATTTCACTCACAAATCAAAAGAAATCAATAAGAAATTATCTCATTATTATAATGCAAAAAAGAGAGAAGGAAATCAATCTTATTACTGTAATGCAAGAATAAAACTATTGAAATGCTACTACATTTATACATAATGGTAGTGTTTTATTTGTCCTTTATGCTGATTTTTTTCTCCATTGTCTTGCCTCCTAATCTAGTTATCTAATAAACCTGGCTTTGTGTACTACGAATATTATTGGCTCTTTAACAAATTACTTTATTCCTCTTTTGTGAGTCGCTTTGGATAAAAGCATCTGCTAAATGCATAAATGTAAATTCATCTGAAGAAGATATTTTGAAGAATGCCGGTAACCAAACCGTTTTAGTTTCCATGACTTGCATTGTATGGACAAAAAATACAATGAGAGTCAATGGGAACAGAAACCGTTTGCTTACCAACATTCTTCAAAATATCTTTAAAAAAAATCATACAGGTTTGGATTGACTTGAAGATATGTAAATGATGACAGGATTTTCATTTTTGGGTCCACTAATCCTTTAATGTTTAACTTCACTGGGATAATAATGGAATTATTACTTTATGACCTGATGAACAGCACAAATATTTATTTTCCAGGCACGTTGAAGATAAGTGTACTGTTTTCGGAACAGCTTTGAATTACACCACCCTGAGAATTCTGGGAGTTGGGCCTGATGATCCAGATATGGTTCGCGCAAGGAATATTTTACACAGCAAAGGTCTGCGATTGCTGATATACAAACAGTCACATGTATGTTCATATGTAACGTAACCCAATAAATAAAATAATGTGGTGTTCAGTTTCAGGACTGTCCCGCTCTGTTACAGGTGGTGCTGTCGGTATACCCTCCTGGGGTAAATTCTGGTTGGCCATCCTCAACGTATACAGCTGGGAAGGGATGAATACGCTCTTTCCAGAGATGTGGTATCCCGAGACTTCATTAGTTTACAGATAAAGTGTCGTTTTTGTTTTGAACATTTCTATAGTTGGATTTCCTTTAGCAATTTTTTTCCATCAGGCTGTTCCCTTCCTGGGTGCCGGCACATCCCTCCACTTTATGGTGCCACTGTCGGCAGGTCTACCTGCCCATGAGCTACTGCTATGCGGTCAGGCTGTCTGCCGATGAAGATCCACTGATACTCAGTTTAAGACAGGTAAAGTTTCTCAGTGCTACCACTAGAGGCCATTCTGAGGCCACATTAAAATCAGGCTTGTTTGCCTGAACTCTACTATCCAGTCACAGTTGTTTGTTTTTTGGGTGTTAAACAGGAGCTCTATGTCCAGGAATACTCGACTATCGACTGGCCAGCTCAGAGGAACAACGTTGCAGCCTGTGACTTATACACACCACACAGCACCTTGCTTACTATCGCTTATTGTGAGAGAAGTGTAACATCTCTGTAAAAAATGATCTTTTACCCTTTACATTTCACATAACAAGTCACATAACGCTATCAAACTTGATCTTACAGTGATCCTGAATGTGTATGAAGCTCATCACAGCACTATGCTGAGAGAAAAAGCAGTGAAGGAGCTTTATGACCATATTAAAGCAGACGATCGCTTCACTAAGTGTATCAGCATTGGCCCGGTGAGAGAAAAGAGAATACATTTTATTTTATGTAATGTAATATTGACTCTATTAATCCACATCCCTGGTTTTATTGTGTGCAGTTTATCTGTACATGTTTTATCAGAACTATTCATTAATAATTATTCAGTCTTAAATATTACACTGTGTACAAAAATAATTTCCTGTTTTGTCAGATTTCGAAAACGATCAATATGTTGGTACGCTGGTATGTGGATGGACCCACATCACCTGCCTTTCAGGAGCATGTGTCAAGGATTCCTGACTATCTATGGTTTGTGGTCTGATTTTAGTAATTTCCTGCTTTTATTTTATAATAATAATAATAATAATTGGTTTCTGTCTTTCTTTTTGTCATTTTTATTTTTTCAATGCTGCAGGCTGGGTTTGGATGGTATGAAAATGCAGGTGAGATGTTGTCATTATGAAGAACATTTTTGGCTTCTAAAGTTTGTTTTATCTGATCAGTTAAAATGTTATTATTAACAATATTAATAACAATTCTCACTCATATTATTATTATTTATTTTCCATCAGGGTACAAACGGATCACAGCTATGGGACACTGCATTTGCAGTACAAGCATTTCTTGAGGTATATATCTTTATTAATAAAACCAAAACTGGCGCATAACTGATGATTGATCAGTTGGCCTTGTTTTCTGAACAGGCAGGTGCCCAGGACATCCCCAGGTTTACAGAGTGCCTCACACAAGCCCATCATTTCTTTGATCTGACCCAGGTGAGGATGATTAATTGAAATCTATCTATCTATCTATCTATCTATCTATATATCTAGCTATCTAGCTATCTATCTATCAAAAAACTAAATAAAAGCATTTAACTTATAGTCTCAAACTTTTGGCCCCCAGTGAAATGTAATAATTTGGTCTCTGTGTGTGGTCTAATCAGTTTTTTATTATTATAGATCAAAGATAATCCTCCGGAATATGAGAAGTACTATAGACAAATGAACAAGGTAAACTTTTTGGTATTGCATTTCAACTTTCTTAACCATTCTTAATCTGCTCTTAAACACTGTAATGATGAGTGTGTGTTTGTGTGATTCAGGGAGGTTTTCCCTTCAGCACGCGGGACTGTGGTTGGCTAGTTGCGGACTGTACAGCGGAAGGACTGAAATCTGTGATGCTGCTGCAAGAGCAGTGCGGTTTCCTCAAAGAAAAAGTTCCCACTGAAAGACTCTTTGATGCTGTCAATGTGGTAAAAGCCTTGTTTACAATTCAGACTTGTTTAACATTCTGTCTGTGTCTTACCAGTGCAGAGCCACAATAATATAATAATCTGATTTACAGTACACTTATTATAGGAACAATCCCCTTGGAGCAACCTAGGGTTAAGTGTCTTGCTCAAGGGCACAGTGTGCTTAAGCCACTATGCAACACCGAGCCTCTATGACTCAAATCTCATCAGCTCACAACATAGACAGAATAAACACATTAATCATATACACTATTGTTCAAAAGTTTGGGGGTGGTAGGATTTTTTAATGTCTTTGAAAAATGTCTCTTATGGTCACCAAAGCTGTATTTATTTGATCAAAAATACAGTAGAAACAATAATATTGTGAAATATTATTCCGATTTTAAATAGCTGTTTTCTATGATAATATTTTTTCAGTTGTAATTTATTCTGTGATGGCAAAGCTGAATTTTTAGTAGCCATTATGCCAGCTTTCAGTGTCACATGATCCTTCAGAAATCATTCTAATATGCTGATTTGGTGCTCAAGAAACATTTCTTATTACAATGTTGAAAACAGTTGTGCTGCTTAATATTTTTGTAGAAACTGTTATACATTTTTTTTTTCATGATTCTTTCATTATTAATAAAAAGTTGTAATAGAAAAAACAGCATTTATTTGAAATAGAAATCTTAATGTGTCCTTGCTGAATAAAAGTATTAATTTCTTTTTTAAAAATGTGATTTTGTTTCAGCTGCTAAGCATGAGAAATCCTGATGGAGGGTTTGCCACGTATGAGACCAAACGTGGTGGAAAACTGCTGGAGCTGTTGAACCCATCTGAAGTGTTTGGTGCGCATGCAGTAATATGTCATATTCAGTTGACAGTGCATTTTTCATCGGTCTTGACATGTCTGATTCTACCTCTTTCTCTCCCAGGTGATATAATGATCGACTACACGTATGTTGAGTGTACCTCAGCTGTAATGCAGGCACTGAAACACTTTCACAGTGTATATCCTGAGCACAGAGCAGAAGAGATTAGGTACAGCCAAACACAATATTTCAGCATATTGTGGTTTGAAAAATGGTTTGGTTAAACCACGTCTCTTGATCACATAGGACAACTCTTCAGCAAGGGCTGGACTACTGCAGGAGGGTTCAAAGACCTGATGGCTCATGGGAAGGGTAGGCGTTGGTTCATTTATAATCAGAGACATTATTGTGTTGCTTCTTAGACTGTTTATGAAGGAATTCTGCTTGTCTTAGGTCCTGGGGAGTCTGTTTCACATATGGAGTCTGGTTTGGTCTGGAGGCATTTGCATGTATGGGCCACACTTTCCAAAATGGGTATGTTATTTGTTTTTCTTCTCATATTGATGTTCATTTAATAAATCATCAGCTCATATTCTTTTACTGCACTTTATTTAACCCCTATTTAAGGTCTGTTTGTGTGGAGGTGAAACGTGCCTGTGAGTTCCTGCTGTCGAAGCAGATGGAGGATGGAGGCTGGGGCGAGGACTTTGAGTCATGTGAGCAGCAGCACTACGTTCAGAGCAAGAACTCACAGATCCACAACACCTGCTGGGCTTTGCTGGGGTTGATGGCTGTCAGGTAACAGCAGCAGTAGTTTTTAGATACCTCTACAGAACTGCCCTCCTGTTCAAAAACTGGGTACAGCTTTTGTGTTGGGGGGGGGGCAAACTGACCCACCTTGTTTTCTATTCAGTTTGCCAAAAATCAACATTATGAAAAATACTAAAGATTCTTGCAATCAATTCTGCTTTGTTTCAAGGACAAGCTCCTTCCACAGGCTATTGATTATCTTCAGAAGGCCTTCAGGGTTCGTAGGCAGTCAGGTCCAATATTACTGAGCAGGTAATTCTCTTCTCAGCTAGTATTGTCTGACAGCAAATCCTCTTAAAATTGCACTCAGCCATGTCCTTCTGGAAGCTTGGTGGATATTTAATCTCATTAGTTTATTTTTTGTAATCCCAATATTTTTTTTCTTAATGATTAGACAATGCGCAACCAATCAGTACCTTAGGAAAAGAGATGATCCACATCGCTACTGTCAGGGACCGTGTGCAGACATCACCAAGTGTGGCCCAGTTGTTGTCCCTGAACAACATTTGCAGGTATTTTTGGCCCCCTCAAATTTTTGGGCCAAAAATATTTCCTTCCTTATTTTGTTTATTCCTTTTTATTGCAATATATTTGCTGCATATAAACCATACAGATTATTCAAAAAAAAAAAAACTAAAACATCAAGACATAGTGATTTTGTTCACCATTTTTTCATTTTGGTTAGCTTAATATGAGCAATATTCCACATATCTATTTCATACCGGTGTGAATTACTCAACCAAGCCTATTTATTTCACCCTTTGGTGCTTGGCAAATGTTAATTTTGGATTCACTTGATTTGACCCTAAATTACATATAATGAGCACTGTATGAAAATTAAGGTGTCTGTTGATATCTATTGATGTTTGTTTATATATTCAATTCGGTGTTTGAAATATTGTTTTAAAAATTATCTGGGTAAATATACAGAAGCACCATTCCTACTTAAAGATCCATTTTATGGATAAAATGAATTCTAATATTTCTAATACTGACAAATACCAATATATTGCAGGTAAATATATGAGAATTTTTGATTCATAGAATGAGGTCTCCTTTAGCAATGCAGGGTTTGCAGTGAGTCTGGCAAGTCCTGCGGCCCCGCTGGTTCTCCTGATGGTGAGGGGGTGGTGAGGGCTGATTTTGTGTTGTACGTGAGTGCGATGACCACAGAGCGTTGTGGACAAGAAAACATCGTAGCCTATGCAGCGTACTGCCAGCTGGAGTCTGAACTGGACAGGTAATCGCAATAATTGAAATGGGAATGTAGGTGATTTTAATTTGCTTTAGAGTATACTGTGGAAATAGTCCAGTGTGTTGCTGACAGTAACAGCAGAATTTCTTAATGTAGGCCCATCGCTGGATATGCCAATCTGTGTCCCAATATGATCTCTACTCAACCTCAGGAGTTTGAAGGGATGCTGTCCACAGTCAAACACGAGATCATACATGCCCTGGTAACAACATTAAACTCCGCACATCCTCATGTGGAGAGCTTGATAGTTTATCATTATTGTTCAATTATATGTTCTATATGTTTTAAGGGTTTTTCTGCAGGACTCTTTGCGTTTTACCATGATGATGATGGGAAACCTTTGACACCACGTTCTGCAAGTGGTCTACCTGCATACAATGAAAGGTGATGGTTATATTTGTATTTTTATTTCTGTTTTTGAAATACAATTTAAAAATATTTAAATAATATTAAAATATTTTATTGTAACATTGTGATAATTATATTGCATGATTAATACAGGTTAAAATTGTTATTTTAGTTGCATGCATGACCCCCTGATATATGTATATAATGGACCTTCATTGTTAAACTATATATATAGCACTATGTTTATTTCTTTTTATATCTCTCTCAGTTTAGGGTTATATCAATGGAGTGATAAAGTCATCAAAAGAGCAACTCGGCTGTGGGACATCCGTGGAGGCCACATGGTCCGACACACGGTCCATCTTCTGGCCACCCCACGTGTAGTTGTAAGTATTTCTTTCCTTTTAAAGGAACAGCATCTAAATAGTCGAATTGAGCTGCATGAATTGTTGTGATGTTTTATCAGGAGGAAACCAGGAGACATTTTAATTGCCCCATTCTAGAGGGCATGGAACTGGAGAACCAGGGAGGTGCTGGCACCGAGTTCAACCACTGGGAAAAACGTCTGTTAGAGGTACTGAAACCAAATCTTCCCTGGTGGTGTTCATGAACACTTAACTACTTCAGTGTCAGTACTATCAAAGTACTGTTTTTTTTTAATTGAATTCAGCATGTTTTATTTTAACAGAATGAATCAATAACTGGATCTCATACACAGAACAGAGTGTTTTCCAGAATGACTTTGGCCATAATGGAGGATACAGTGTAAGAGAAGTATTGTTGCTCATGGCTAATGCAGTTTATTCTCTTACGAAGGTGTAAACTTCTACATTTACAGGTATAGTTCCCCCCAAAAATTTATATTCTGTCATCATTTACTCACCCTCATGTTGTTTCAAACGGTACGCTCTGTGCAACACAAAAGAGGATATTTTGAAGAATGTTGGTAAACAAACAATTTCGGTTCCCATTCACTGCCCACAGTATGGACAAAAATACTATGGAAGTCAATGGGGCCTAAAACTGTTTCAGCATTCCTCTATATCTATGTATCTATATATATGTCTATATATCTATTTTATATATATATGTGTATATGTATATATATATATTTTATTTATTTTTTTTTCTTTCTGTTTTAAGGTGGTACAGAGCCAATTATAGTATGGCGGAGAACTTGGAGTGGGGAAGAGGTTTGGGTTGCGACTTTGTAATGAAAAGCTGTTTCTGTCATCATTTACTCACCCTCATGTTGTTTCAAATGGTACGCTCTGTGCAACACAAAAGAGGATATTTTGAAGAATGTTGGTAAACAAACAATTTCGCACCCTCATGTTGTTTCAAACGGTACGCTCTGTGCAACACATAAGAGGATATTTTGAAGAATGTTGGTAAACAAACAATTTCGGTTCCCATTCACTGCCCACAGTATGGACAAAAATACTATGGAAGTCAATGGGGCCTAAAACTGTTTCAGCATTCCTCTATATCTATGTATCTATATATATGTCTATATATCTATTTTATATATATATGTGTATATGTATATATATATATTTTATTTATTTTTTTTTCTTTCTGTTTTAAGGTGGTACAGAGCCAATTATAGTATGGCGGAGAACTTGGAGTGGGGAAGAGGTTTGGGTTGCGACTTTGTAATGAAAAGCTGTAAATTCTGGAAAGACCAACATCGCCATACGTAAGCTTTGATACTTGAGATACGTAATAAAACTTTGTGTACACTTGTGAAAAAAATCATTTTTGTTGTTGTTGTATTAAGTGGACAATGTACTTTTATTTGTTTTGGCAGATGCTTTTATCAAAATGCCATACAATTGCATAAAAAACTGTACATTTCATACGTTCATGCGTTCCTTAGGAACACAAACTCATGTTGCTAGTGGTACAGAAACAAATTAGATTGTTTGTTGTACATTTGTAGCAGTTCTTTATTTCAGATTGATTCCAGTGTCTTATTGTATCTTTTCCAGAGAAACTGGAGTTTCATAGTCTTAAATATATGTACAACATATTGGTTAAGATTTGGGTCATTGATTGGACATCTGTCCCTAATGTTTTTGAAACAGGAGGCCAACCCTGAGCCCGTACTGTGATTCTGTGAGGAGCGCACCTCTACAGCTCACCTGCAGGCAGGACCAGCTGGCAGTGGCCGTGTGCAACCTGCAGAAGTTTCCTCATGTGCTTCCTGCAGAGTATCAGGTAAGATCAGCAGAAATGCAGGTAAAAATCCTCTGTATATTCCCTCGATTCTTATTCATTTGAAACACTGTATTGTGAAAAGCAGTATACAAATACAATTGACTGGTTGTTTACAGATAAATACAAGATGACTGCCTTTATAGAAGGTTGATTTGAATGTAATAAACCCTCTCCATCCTCTAGTATTTTGACCATATCCCTGGTGTCCCTGAGGAAGATTTGCCAGCATATGGAGGGGCTGTAGAGATCGCAGACTACTGTCCTTTTAGCCAGGAGTTTAGTTGGCATGTGGGTGGGGAATACCAGCACAGCTCTTACTGCAGGATACAGGAGAACCAGCCAGGTGAGATGCCATTCACTGACATCCTTTCTTCATTTAGAAGTAGAATGGAAGGTCTCGTTTGCTTATTCCTTCTTGTCTTGTTCAGTATTTTTTGCATGTAGTTGAGACTGTTGGGGTTTTGCTTTTTTAGCCACATGGAGAAACTATGGGGCGGAACAGTATGGCCCGGGGTCAGTGTGTCTGTACCAGAAGTCACCATTTGTAATGGAGCAGTGCACCAAAAGAATGACCTACCCAGACTGGGGCAGTGGTTGCTATAAGGTAATAATGTAATGGTAGATCTCATGAGAGATGGGACAGTCGCTGCAGAATTGTGTCTATATATCAAAAGTTTTGGGTCATAAAGATTTTTTTTAATGTTTTTGAAAGAGGTCTCTTATTCTTATTAGGATGATAAGATGGCGCCGACGCTGATGGCTGCCTCCATGGCGTGCTCACTCATGTGCCTTCTGAAAGATGACCGCAGCTCTGGAGGTAGTTTGGTGAGAAGTCGAGCCACGTGAGATCCACACCGTAATTCAACCTCTCCTTCTGTGCCCAGTGTCTTCAGGAGACCTACGAGTGCCTGGATTTGGAGAGCAAAGCGTTCGAGGCCTATGGTATCTCCAGATTGGACGTCCAGAGAGTCCATTACAGCAGCTATTCTATTTAGAGCGAGTTGGTGAGGTCGCCCGAACCTCTCAGTGAGTGCCGCCATAGTGTCTGAATATGGAGTAATGGAGTTCAAGAACGAATCGGCTATCAAGCGGGCTTCCATTAACTTCAAGTGGTCCACTAGAACCTGGTACTTAAAGAGTTCAGTTGCGTCCTCTGGCAACCGATTTCCCAAAGCTAGCTTAAGGCGAGGACACCGGAGGCAGGATTCAGTTCCAGATTTTAATAAGTGATTGAGAATTAACAGCAATTGACAGCACAGTCAGACAACAGGGCATTTCTTGTTTAGCCACAGGTTGTGGACATTTGTATAGATGTGGTCTTATGGAAAATGATCGTTCTTTGTTCAGCCTCAGAACACTTGATGCTCCCTACTCTCTTCAGTGAGCGATCATTGACTGACGTCACACAATAACAAGCACTCTTATTGGCTGTGACTTCTTATCAGCCTATAAAAAAAGTTTATTTTTTCAATAAACAGTTATAAAAGCACAATATTTTGTAACATTGTCTTTACTGACACCTTTGATCATTTCTGTTAATGATAGTGTAAATATGTAAGTAAAATTATTATAAATAATAAAACTATTTTTTTTTTTCAACTGGAGCATTATGTACCACCGCAACATAGGAAACTGATGCTTTTTGTGTACTGAAACTGTGATTTGTGTTGCAGGTGTCTTGCACAGCCCAAGGGTTGTTGGTCTGGGTGCAGAATGAGTCATATCCATGTGTTCGTACTGGTCAGGTGATCAACGTAAGCATACGAATGAATGGATGGGTCTACAGTGGACAGCTCATCTGCCCAACCTGCTCTGACTTCTGCAGCGTCTGCCCCCTCCCTCATGAGATCTCCCCTCAAAACACCACCAAGAGTGCCCGCTTGGGTAAGTTACTGTCTAACACTCATCACATCACCATGTTTATGGCTGTAAGACTATACCATGAGTGGTTGCTTATTGGTGTTATTTTTCATATATACTGTATTTATACATATAAAAGTTTTATTATTATTATTATTATTATTATTGATAATGCATATAAAATATGTATGGATAATGTAGTAAATGAGTAAGCATTGATAAGTAAATATTCATATTAAATCAAAATTATTATTATTTTTTTTGTAAGGCAAGTTTATTTATATTGTACATTTCTGACACAATGGTAATTCAAAGTTTTTATAAAAATCATAAAACAATCCTACAAGATGCATAAAAATTACTATAAAAAGTTAAAAAGAATAAACATATTAAATGTAAAATATAAAAATTTAAATTTAAAAAACTGATTACAGATATTAGGCTACTGTTTAAAAAGCAAAAAACCAATTTTGCCTGTCTGAAATAAAATGATTATGATGATTATTTATAAACATCAATTGTGTGAAATGTTGCAAGAAAAAAAGTTTTCCAAATATATAAGGTAAACCAGGTGCATACTTTAACAAGGTTCAAACAATGCAAAATATGTTTGTTTGCCAAAAAAGGCTAATTTCTTTCATATTAAAATCATTCTTTTCTTTTCTCAGATCCTTGTTCCAGGTCTTCTTGTTTGGTGGTGAACTTATGGCAGCTCCTGTTAACTCTTACTCCACTGCTGATCGGCTTCCTCCTTTGTGGCAGGGACTGAATTTGTTCCCAGTTTATTGGGTGAATATGGATGCCTTGATATGCTACAGGCTTCCCTTGAGGTTTAGCTGCTGTGGAGAGCAAAACGGCGATTAGTGTAGTCTGTGATCTGATAACTGTTCTCTCTGTGTGGAGGTGTGGACTGTAGGTGGGATTGAAAAGCCATTTGATTGCACTCCTCCTTGCCTGGCTGTCAGGTGCCAGCGAGCTGTTGATCCAATGTGAAGCCATAGTCATGCAAGTTACGGTTGTGCAGGTGCTAATTAATGTTCTCTTTGTGTCTCTGATGGACCTGTAGCATTTTGGGTCATGAAATAGGCATCTGTTTGAGAATGTCGGGAGATATTCTCTCTGGTCTTCTGCTCATGGTGCTTCTCTGTTGTTTCGTAAAATTACTTGCTGGCAATGTTTTGATCAGTGTATATCAGGTCATGTGACTGACGATGCTTGTGATTTTGCATGGAGAAGTGCAGGTGAGATCTCTGTTAAGGTTCGTGCAAGTGCTGATTTTTTTTTGATAATTTATAGAAATTTGAATGTTGCTGTTGTACAAGATAAATACTTCAGAAAGGGTTTAAACGTGTTTGAATTTATGGTATTTATTAATACACAGTTGGGTCCAGAAGTCTGAGATTTCATTAAAAATCTGGGATTTCTTTTTAAATTTACAGGTAAATAGAACATTTTTGGATTTTGAGATATTTAAAAAAAAGGAAAGATATAATGTAAATGAAGAAAAAATGTTCTAGGTCACTAAAAGTTGACATTGATCATGGGTCTCTTTATACTGACAGTCAGATGTTCTTGCTTCCGTTGAAGCACAAGATGCTCTTTGTATCATTCTCAAATCATGCTGGAGAACATAAGTTTACACATTCTCAAGTTCACGAGCAGCTCGAGTCAGTAATATTTTAGTATCATTAAGATACCATTGTAGTTTTATTTTAATATTTTGTTTTAGTTTTAGTCTTTTTGCTGTGATTTTTGTGCTTTTTATTTACTTTAATTTTTCTCATTTTATTTCAGTATTAGTTGCCATGTCCACACGTAAACGGGTATTTTTATAAACTGAGTTTTTCCTTCTTCCATTTAAAAAAAAAAACTCCGTCCACATGAAAACGCAAACGCATGCTATGAATCACTGTCAAGAACATGCCAAACCATCCAACAGGTGGCGATATAATCTCAACCGTAAAGCCATGTTGGCCAATCAGAAGCCTGAAAAAGTCTCCAGTAGGCGGAGATAACAGCGCAGGCGCCAACGTCACAAGCCAAAAACTCCGGTTTCGCTGTCTATACGATAACACTGCAACCGGAGTTTTTGAAAATCTTCACCCTGGCAGGCGTTTTCAAAAATGTTCGGTTTTAAAAATAACCGCGTTTGTGTGGACAGGGAAAAATGAAGAATGTTGCCTTGGCAACTAACTGAAATAAGTATTTTTCTATTAATTTGATTTCAAGTAACAATATTTTTTTTTCATGGTTTTAGTTAACTATAATAACCCTGGCTCGACAACGAATGACAAACCAAATACGAAGAAATTTAAAAATTTATTTTAATTTTTAATTTAACTGCTCACTCAAATTATGTTGATATTATATAATTTCTAAGACATTTTGTACTAAATTAAATACTGTAAAATACTCTATTTTCATTAGTGGTCTCGGACATGTGGACCTCGTACGTGTGAGATTTAGTTTTATTGCATTTAGTTTTTTGACATACTGTCATTCTGATTCTGTTTACCTTGAAATGTGTTGCCAGATTTTGGTCCTAAAGGGCTGTCCTACCAAGGCTGCAGATCTTTATAGACTTTGTTGTCTTATAACAATCAACTCACTAAAAGCCCTTGAGAAAAGTGCTTTTTATAGACCTTTATATGAGATCAGATGACATTATTGTGTTGATTAGTATCTTTTTTTTAAATTTTTTTTTTATAATGCTAATATAACATTTGTCATGGTGTCAATTCACTACAGTAGCAAGGTGCCATTAGTAGGGCTCTTTTATCTGACATTTTTATTTTTTAAACAGAATATCTAGCACAGATATTCCATTAAACAACTTTCGCAGGTGTTGCAAAAAAGCAGGTGTTGATTATTGTCCTACTGTAGTCACATTGTAACTTGCTTTGTTAATGCATTCAAAATGTAGCCATTATTTAAAAAATGAAATTGGGGACAAATACTGAGGAGTTGCACTGTATATGTGATAGTTTAGAGACTAGATTGTTACTGGTGTTAGAGGACTAGTGAAGGTGTCTGTTATATAATTATCTGGTATTTTACTTGTTCTTTCTTATCTTATAATATTGAATGAGGAACTTTTGTGGATGCTGCTCTGAATCCATGTTTTTAGTTACAAAATGACAGTTCATAAGATTTGAACCCTTTGCCATTCATAACTTTTTAGTATTATAATATTTGACTTCTTTTTGTTAGGTAATACAATGCTTTCATTTTAGGACACAGTATTAGTTGCTGAGAGACAAACATGGCAGCTTTGAATACAACATTAATTTAGAGCCTTTTCAAATAACAATATTTTTTTTTCATGGTTTTAGTTAACTATAATAACCCTGGCTCGACAACGAATGACAAACCAAATACGAAGAAATTTAAAAATTTATTTTAATTTTTAATTGAACTGCTCACTCAAATTATGTTGATATTACATAATTTCTAAGACATTTTGTACTAAATTAAATACTGTAAAATACTCTATTTTCATTAGTGGTCTCGGACATGTGGACCTCGTACGTGTGAGATTTAGTTTTATTGCATTTAGTTTTTTGACATACTGTCATTCTGATTCTGTTTACCTTGAAATGTGTTGCCAGATTTTGGTCCTAAAGGGCTGTCCTACCAAGGCTGCAGATCTTTATAGACTTTGTTGTCTTATAACAATCAACTCACTAAAAGCCCTTGAGGAAAGTGCTTTTTATAGACCTTTTTATGAGATCAGATGACATTAGCGTGTTCATTAGTTTGCCTTCACTGAGAAGTATGCATCTTTTTTTTTTAAATGCTAATATAAAATTTGTCATGGTGTCAATTCACTACAGTAGCAAGGTGCCATTAGTAGGGCTCTTTTATCTGACATTTTTATTTTTTAAACAGAATATCTAGCACAGATATTCCATTAAACAACTTTCGCAGGTGTTGCAAAAAAGCAGGTGTTGATTATTGTCCTACTGTAGTCACATTGTAACTTGCTTTGTTAATGCATTCAAAATGTAGCCATTATTTAAAAAATGAAATTGGGGACAAATACTGAGGAGTTGCACTGTATATGTGATAGTTTAGAGACTAGATTGTTACTGGTGTTAGAGGACTAGTGAAGGTGTCTGTTATATAATTATCTGGTATTTTACTTGTTCTTTCTTATCTTATAATATTGAATGAGGAACTTTTGTGGATGCTGCTCTGAATCCATGTTTTTAGTTACAAAATGACAGTTCATAAGATTTGAACCCTTTGCCATTCATAACTTTTTAGTATTATAATATTTGACTTCTTTTTGTTAGGTAATACAATGCTTTCATTTTAGGACACAGTATTAGTTGCTGAGAGACAAACATGGCAGCTTTGAATACAACATTAATTTAGAGCCTTTGCATATGGAATGTTGCGTAAATATGTTTCTATTGTAGTACTGATTGCTGATGTGTTAAGAATTTTATTTTGCGTTTTAAGCGTACTGTTTGATGAAGAGATTAATTGGGTGAAATATGGAGCAAATTAGATTCCAGATTTCATAGTGAAACTCTAAAATATGGTGTGATTATGGTATGAATTCATATTTACTGTATGTATGTAGAGTTGGAGTTTATATTCCGAAATGTTGGACTGAATGAGTCTTACAGTTTTAGTGGCTCATTATAATGTAACTGAAGGAGTTTTGTACTCTCAATCAAACCTCAACTGAAATGCCTTTCCTTTCATGGTATTCACTCAAGGACAGTATGAGCATATAGTTTTAACAGTATGTCTGAACATAAGTTTTTAGATTGAAAGCAAACTTTTGTGTCTTGCACATATAGGAGACCCTTTTCTTGAAAATTGTAATCATCACTGCGAGCATTGACACTTTGTAGCATTGGAACATTTACAAACATATTATTTAATTTATGTAATTATGCTTTTTCTGTTATTTACGATTCATTTGTCACAAATGACTGTGATACATGCATACATACATACATACATATA